TTAGTCACAACTGGGCAGGTAGGACAGGGAGGGCTCTTCCAGGCACATCCATGGGCTCCTGCTATCATCTGACTTCCCCTTTTCCTAGGATCCCATGACGACTATGAAAGGGATCGTGGTGGCTTAGGGGCCAGCTTGGAAATATTGCAACTGTTAATAAATCATTGAACTAGTTTCCTAGATGCCTAGGTTCGAGGGGGCTGGGGCATTCCTGTTATATGATAAACTACATGTCACCCTCCACTGCCTGTCACAACCCACACACTGAAGCCATCAACTCCTCAGAATTTAGAACCTCAGAATTTGGCTCGATGTGGACACAAGGCATCAGAACAGCTGATTAAATGTGAATGAGATTGTTGGGGCAGGCCCTAATCCAGTATGACTGGTACCCTAACAAGAATATATCTGGACAGCCAAGAGACATTAGGGACTTATACACAAAGAGGAACGGCCATTTGAGGATAGTAAGAAGACAGCTGTCATGAACACTCTATATCAGAAACACAGATGCATATGTTTTGTGTCATTTCATACTGTCACAATTTATCGAGTAACAGTAAATTCATGAGCCATGTGGGTGTCATTGGCTGCAACTTGCCAAGTAGTGCTGGGCCCCTTGAGAGCTGGTCATTGGCAACCATAGGCTCTTTTACTCTAATCTTAACTACTAATATTAGTTCTTATATCACATATTACACAGCTCACAGTCATTAGAGTTCTTTTTGTAACCATTACAAAATAGTTACAAAATGGTTAAAGAAGGCAATAGAATTCAAAGAGTTCAAAAGGCCTCATAGGAGACAGGCAGAGAGCTGGTATAGAAGCAGCCAGAGCAGATGATTAGACAAAATACTGAGGGGCCCTCTTAGAGAGCTGTTGGGGACTCAGAACCAAGCAACACAGTTGCAGGACTAAGTCAAACCGCAGAGATACAAGACTATGGAGGCCATAGCATCTAGGTACAGGACTGGAGGACCATGGAAGGGAGGGGCAAGACCAAGTCCAAGAATAGATGGATGAAGAAACAGCAATTCAAGTAGGCTCTGCCAAGTAATGGGATGTAACTGAGCCAACACCTGAGGGACAGTTGGTAGTTCTTTGTCTGTAATGCCTTGATGCACACACTAGGTAGGTAGATGACAAGGTATCATCTTGATGAATATCCTTCTTTTCACCGGGTCCAGGTGGGGGTGTTCTACCTTTCATCAGTCTGGTGCATTTGGGAAGTTCTTGGGCATGATGTTGATGCTGTGATCTTAATTAAACCCATGTACTGTGGTTTTAATTCCACTCATGTTCTGACATGAGTCCAGGGTGCTTTGAGAAGTTTCTATGTGATATCTTCTTTCTTTCAAGAACAAGCTATTTGTCAGCCCGTGACTCATGGGTGGTGCTGGACAGCTGGTGGCAACTACATGCATAATGACACACAGTCACCCTGCCTCTGCATTTATGCTCAAAAAGGACTCAACTGCCCCTTGTAAAATGGAGTCACCCCAGGGCAAGGCACAGCCTGAAGGGCACTGCTCTACATACTGTGGAAGAATCAAGATCAGGGCACATCCGATTTTCCCAGTGGCAATCTACAGGCCCATACATTAGAACAAACCACACTTTGTGATCCCTTACACCTTTGACTTCTGGCCTCCCAAACTAAGAAGACAATGTCTATGGTTTAACACACTTAGGCTGTAATGTTTCATTTCAGCAACCTGCGCTAACTAGTACAATATTTGCAGTGGGAAAAATAGGTGACATTAGCTGTCTGGGTCACAGTCCATCCTCTTGCTCCCTTCCTTTTTCCCTTCCCATCCCCAGTGAGGACAAGCATAGCCCCCAAGCCCCTGCATCCAGGCAAAGCTAGGAACCTTGGATATATTGGATGATCCACAGCTTTAAACACAGTCTCCTGGCTTCTTTGGCAACACAACTCCTTCAAAAACTTGGGCTTCTAGGAGATTTCCTTCTAGCCAATTCCACGTAGTAAGTGCACATAGAATTTTCTTCTGAGTTGTAATTCTCTACCCCGTCTAAGCTGGCTTGGCTTGCTAGTGCTGTTCTTTCTCAACTTAACGGTGGCTACCATGGAGTTCTCTTTCTCTGGCTTAGTAGAAAGGTGTAGTCCCTGAAATGATTTTTCTTTGCCTCAGGACTGTGCTTAGCTGAGAAGAAAGACAGATTATGTGCAATGAAGCCCAATCACATTCTCTCACTCTCTCTCTCTCTCTCTCTCTCTCTCTCTCTCTCTCAAAAAAATGTGTGTCTGAGAAAGAAATCTTTATTGTTATGAGTCTCTGCAATTTGGAGATTATTACAATAGTTAGTGGCCCCTCACTAACACAGTATTTCATTTTGTATGGAGAGGTAAAGGCAGCCCAAAGAGAGAAGTGGGTCCTAAGAGAGGTCCTTTGTTTCTGATTCTATTCCATTTCCTTCTCACAGACTAGTTCTTCCAATTAGTTCTTCATTGCATTTACCTTTATCTTTTGGTGTCTTGCTGGATGCAGTCCACAGGCAGCACTGGGGCCAATATTCTGTTTTCTGTTTCCATGCTCTTCCCCTGGGCATGGATGACTTCCAGGTTATGACAGGCAGCCCTGGGATCCAATATCCAAGCACAGATGCCCGATTTCATAGTTTGCCATCTCTCCTCTCTAGCCAGCTTCATATGGTCATTGTTTTACATCACAAGCTCTCAACCTGTGAGTCTTGACCCTTGCTGGGGGTGTTGAAAGACCCTTTCACAGGAGTCACATATCAGATATTTATAAAAGTGGCAAAATTACACTTATAAAGCAATAAGAAAATAATTTTATGGTGGTGGTGGGGGTCACCACAACATGAGGAACTGTATATTAAAGGGTCACGGCCTTAGGAAGGTTGAAAACCACTGTTTTAAAGGAAGTTTTCCACTCCAAGAAAAACAAAATTCTTGTATTACTCAAGGAGGGGAAATGCTGAAACAAATAGCTGTCAAAGCTCAGTGAATACAAAATTAAATGTCTGTTTCTTCATGTCATGGTGTGCTATTGATTGGCTTAGGGGTGAAGACGGAAGAAGCAAGAACCATGTTCCACACTGTCACTCAAGGTCCCAGGCTCCTTCCATTGGGTGCATGCAGAATTGGATAAAGCACTGGACTCCCTGGTGATTTGGGCATTTGGTTAGCAGGTAAGGAAGAAAGATCAGCAGGAAACTCCTAAGATTTTAGAGCATGCTTGCTGCTGCCAGGGCTTGTCTGTTGGTAAGAGCCTCTCTTCTGGCTCTAGTGAGTGCTCTTAAAGCTCAGTCCACTCAGCCCAGGGAGAGTCGGGGATGCACATACCAGTGTGCAGGGGCATCCCCCATATCACCTTGCTTTCTCCATGCTGCTCATATTATGGACATGGGGGTAAGTTGCTCAATTCTTGCTGTAATGGAGGTGTTGTTGCTTCTGTTACTGGGAGGGCTGCCTGCCAGTGGTCTTTACCTTTCAGCTCTCTCAGAGGCAAAGAGTCACTTCATCCAAGATGAAATCCTTTCTGATGTGGCCCACACTCAATGACTTAGCAAAGCCCAGCTATTTTGATCCAGTCAGGACAGCTATGGCTCCTGTGGGATTTTTAGCTAATGTTACTATTGAGTTTCTCTCCACTTTTCTGTGTCCATTCTGACTTTCTCCTTCTTCTCACAGCTCTCACTCCCAAGGCCACTTACTAAGACACCTAGACACAGACTGCTTCCTCGGAGAGCCTGTGGGTGAATGTTTCAATTAGAGTTCTGTTCCAATATTAGACTATTTCCCCCCAGTGTTGCTGTGGTTCCAGCACTTAAAACATTGCTTAAAGCACACCATGCACTCATCAAAATGGATTTTTGTTGTGAAATATTAGTTTAAGATGTGTTACATTCATTTATGCTGTGGAATATTTGTTTAATGATGCAAAGATTTGTGCATTCTTTTATGTTACATTTGCTTAACGCTGTAAAGCTGTGCTACTTTGCCCTTCTAAAACATCTGATTGGTCTAATAAAGAGCTGAACAGCCAATAGCTAGGCAGGAGAGAGAAATAGGCTGGGCCAGCAGGCAGAGAGAAGAACTAAGAAAAAGAAGAAGAGTGAGGCACAAGAAAGGGGGGAGAGGAGGATGCCAGGGGCCAGTTACCTAGCTACACAGCCAAACACAGAGTAAAAAGGAAAAAAAAAAAGAAATACAGAGAAAGGTAAAAGCCCAGAGGCAAAAGGTAGATGGGATAATTTAAGAAAAGCTGGCTAGAAATAAGTCAAGCTAAGGCCAGGCATTCATAAGTAAGAAAAGTCTCTGTGTATTTATTTGAGAGCTGGGTGGCATGCCCCCAAAGAGTAAAAAAACACAACAACAACAAAAACCTCAACCTCTCCCAAACAACAACAGCAAACTAACTACACATTTTAATGGAATATTTATTTAAATACATTTGTGTACTCTTCCTGACCAGGCCATAACCTCCTGAAAGACAGGGTCTATATGGTTATCTTCTGTGTGTCACCAGATCCTTGCCAAGTGCCTGACACTTCACTGTTACTCTGTATTTGATAAATGTGTAAAGAAGATGATTAATTGGAGAATGGTGAGAAAGACCTTCTTATACCACAGGCCAGGCCAGGAATTCCATGGAGGAGACAAGATGCTGATGGTGTTGAGGGATAAGCGTTGAGTGACTTCCTTGACATACTATTTGCTAAATAGGTATTCTTTAAATTTTAGAGTATTTTCATTTGGCATGGCTGGTAGCAATTATTGAGGAATACTATCTGTTCCAGCCACCATGTCCTCTTCAGTGTTGCTATCCTGAGTTAAAAGAATTCTACTGTGCAGAGAAAGTTAGAAAGGAGCCTGTGTGGTGGCTGAGAGGCTACATCAACACTTCAACCTATTTCCTGAACACCATTGGTGGTGGGGCCTGGCAGGAAGGACTGGGGAGAGAATGGGCTCCCTGTGATGCTCATGGGAAAACAGAGGAGACAAAACAAATTCATCATGAAAAATTAAACACTGTTGGAACAGGAAGGGAGACCAAACAAATACAGATGATACAAATGCTATTGTCGGTGGCCTCTGAGGCCAAAAATGAACTCGACAGAAGGCCTCAGCTCTGAGCCAGAGTCATTTATCATCCATTTGGTTTTCCACATTGCAGACCCACAGAGATGGATAATAAGGGGAAGGTAAAGAAGAGCTTCAGATGGGTTGTAAATAAATATAATAGGAGATGGATGACAGCAAGTCTAGAAAACCAGAAGACACGAGAAAATCAATAAGAGAACTTCTATAAAGGGGAGGGAAGTGGGGGGCAAAGGAGAAGTGGGGAGGGAGTGTAGGTAGGTCCTCTCCATATTTTCAGGTTGGCATTACCCCCAATTCTCTCCTAGCTTCATTTTGAGCTTCAATAGCTGCCAGTCCTTGCAACTCAGAGCCTCCTCTCCTCCACACAGCCCAAAGGCTCCCTGGGGCCTCCGGAGAGCTCCTGGCATGGGGGAAACTGTGTGGAGAGTCAGTCCAGCCGCCCTGAGAGGGTGGCCTTTCTCTGTTCTACTCGAGGCTTCATTTCCCCCTTCATTCCTCTCTCCCCACCCTGTGCTGCCCCACATCTGACAGCCCGGAACTACCGACTGGTGAATCAAGGAACACAACCCGTTTCCATCTCTCCTGCAAATGGTGGCCAATGTCACCCCGCTTGACTGGAGACAGAACCTGACAGAAGCAAAAGTCAGAGTATAGGGGAAAGGACAGAAAGCAGCAAAAATAACTCTTTAAATGCAAAACAAAACAAAGCAAAACAGTAAGATAAGACTTCTTATTGGGGTTAGAAATGTGTTCTCTGGTTACTCTTAACACTCTTAAATAAGAAAAATAAAAAGAAGCAGGTAGTCTTCAGAGAGAAATGAGCACAAAAGCCTGAATTAATTGACCTGAGACCTTGGATAGTGTAAAAACAATTTAATGAGAATTTTCTAAGTGCCTTTTCTGACAAAATGGGAAGAAGACAGGAGTCAAATGAGGAGATCCCATTCCACCAAAAGGAGTCACTTTGAATAGCTGGTTCCCTCCCCAACTATAACTTCTTTGCTTCTCAGAAAAAGGGCTGGTCAATAAACTGTTCCCAGAGTCACCAGGTGGCAAACAGCCATCCAGCCTGATTGCCAGGATGATTGCCCTAGGTGGGACTCTGCACGTGTGTCCTCATACCACAGCTGCTGACTCATTAGCGTGAGTGCTGTACCCACAACCAAGCTGTCCTGTCTTCTCACCTCCACAGGCATGCTGTGTCACACACACACACACACACACACACACACACACACAAGAATGTACTGGTGCACATGTGTACACACACACAAATTGTTTAAATGCAAAAAACCCAACCTTAATATAGACTTAAACGTGCTCAGAAAAGAAGTACATACACCTAAGTGTGGGTCTGTGCTCCCTAAGAGATATAGGAGAAAGTAAGACATAGCACATGGAGAGAGAGAGGTATAATTGACCATCTCAGCATTAGCCATATGTACCATTCTGGTGGCTCTCAAGTTACATCTTAAAAGATTTCTAAGAAACTGGTTTTCTATGCCTTGATAGTGAGGGGTTCCAGAGATGTCCTGGTGGGAACCACAATTCAATAAGGTGAATTTTGATTGCACAATGGGGTTAGTACACATCTTCCTGCAAGCGGGTTTTCTGGTGAGATGCTTAGAAAATTGCAGGTTTACAACTGGGAAGGCAGAAAGGCAGTAAGCAGTTGATGCTAGAATTCTTGCTTTTCTCCTGGCATTCTTGGGTCAGGGACTCATTTCTTTTGTCCTCTGAAATTTTTCTACCTCAGTCTTATTTGTGAGATTCCCAGAAAATGTCTGGGAGAGGAGTGAGGCCATACCTGAAGTCATACATACAGGGCGTTAATCTTGGTTCATTGTTATTTTAGCACTCTCATTTGAAAATATTTCTACATAAAATATTGCCCCTAGGTCCAGGAACCTTCAAAGTAAATGTTCATCGTGCTGGAATTCTTGATTCTCAGCTGGCCACAAGCATTAGCTAGCCTGCAACGAGGGGCTCCCCATTCCCATCTCCCCGTGACTTCCCTTTCTATCCTGCCTCAACACTAACTTCAGAGTTTGTCCAGAGTCCCAAGAGTGCCCTCTCTTCAGATGGCAGGCCCAAGGTCTAGGCAGGCTCCCTAACTATCTGGAGTTCACATAATCTCTTCATGGTTTTGATAATTCACTAGAACAGGTTATGGCACTCAGGAGACACCCGTGGTCAGCAGTTAGCTGTAGAGCATTGTTAGATTTCATGGGGCATGTGGGCTTAAAGAAAGACAGAAAGGGCAGGAAGAAAGCACCGTCCAACTTTATATACTCGGGACCATGTTCAAGGTAAGGAACATCTGGTCACCCCTGGGTGTGGATAAAAAATGCCTATAAAAGAAGGTGAGACCCCTTATAGGGGAGGAAACTACTACCATACCATTTTCCCTCCTTTCCAGAGTATTTTGGTCTGGCTACAAGGGAAGTTTGGAAGTGTAGTCTCTTAAGAAGAAACTAGCCAGCATAAGAACCTGGAATAGACTTGCCTGGCAGGTGGTGTGTGTGTGTGTGTGTGTGTGTGTGTGTGTGTGTGTAGGGTGGTACAGAACTTCCATGGCTTTCACACCTTCTCTGGACACACCATCTCACTAGATCTCCTCTACAACCCTATCTCTAGTCCTTTCCCACTGTGGAGGTTAGGGTGGGGCTAAAGTCTCTGACTCTTGAAGGATTCGTTCAGTCTGTTCTGGTGACCAGTCCTTCTGGGAAGCTAAACAGGGCCCTATATTGAGTCATCTCATTAGCATGAACTCTGGTGACATTTTTTTTAAAAAGTCATTATGCATAACAAAGCATTTCTTATCACACAGGAAATCCCAAGGTGCCAGCAACCTGGAGACAAAGACCCGATAAGGTTTTTATTATGCCATACAGCTGGACCCAATGGAAGCCAAAGGTGAGTCAGCTAGGCTGACAGCCCAAAGAATCTCCTCCCAAGGCACAGGGAAGGGTGGAGAAAGGTGGAGGGTGGGCCTGAGGACCAAGTAGAGAATGTCCAGGACACCTTGTATCACACGCATCTGCCATGCAGGGCACCTGGATGCCTCCACCTTCCCAAAGACCAGGTGAAGGAGGAAAGAGAGAGATCACTGCAGCAGACAGGGTGAAATTCACACTTGAGGCACATCAGAGGGACACTGTCCTACTGCCCAACCTGCAAGCCATGGAGGCCACACAGCTGCTTTCAGGGAGCCTTGACTTGGGCCACTGGTGCCAGCGCTCCTCCCATTGTAGCTGAGGAATGGCTGGTGCTGTGTCCTTGACTGAATGCCCTTGTCCTCCTGCTCTGGGCTTTGTCCCCATTGCTACAGACCATGACTCCTAAGTTCCTTCCTGGGCTGTGATCATCACTAAGCCCTTTCTGGGGCCAGCCTCTTTCAGGCTCACAGGAACATCCCAAGGTCACATCCCCAGCATTCAGCTGGCTGCCCTAGATCTCATTTCTCAATCTGCTCCTAACCTGTGCTACAGAGCTCCTGCTGTGATGGGATAGAAGGGAAAATTGTGGGGACCTGGAAGGGAACGTAGCCATTACCTTAGAGTCTGATTGAAGACTCTCAGCAGGTGAGTGTCAAGAATCCCAACACAGTTAACACTTGCTTAAACTGTCCAGCCAAAACAACATTTCTCAACTCAAAGGGAATAAGAGAGCCTATTCTGGAGTAAAAGCATGAGTGACTGTGGTCCAGAACACAGAGCTGGGTTACCACAGGTTCCATGCCCCAGTGTGGAAACAGTTTCATGGAGCTTTTATAGTCACAGCACAAAGAAAATTATAAATCAAGGTGGTTTTAAAATGCATCTGTTGAAACATTAAGTAGGCAGAGAACAGTGGGGAGATTGCAGCTGTAGGCAATAGATGTTATCTGATAGCATTCTTAGCCCTTGATTAGTGGAGAACAGAGTTCTGTCAAGTTACTATATTGCAAAGGTTTTAACCTGTTCATAGGCTATCAGGCCCGGCTAATAGTAGGACATTAGGTCTGGTGCAGCCAGGGTTAGGAATGGCTGTTTATTACGCTGATAAGCACATAAATTGTAATTAGGGTTGAAACAACAAGATTCCAACCTCTCCATGTCTTTGAAGTTTTAATTAGTTAATCAGCCAGGGTAAACAGTTTCTTTCCAGGAATTCTCATTCACAAGGCCGTTCTCCTTTCAGAAGCCAGCTGTGGACCAACAATTTTCCAGGAACCTCACGAGAAAGCCTATTTACAGTAAAAGATGTGTCGGAAACTTCCACCTAACCCGAGTGGCTCCTGGTTTCACACTGTCAGATTACGGTCCCATCCAAGAGTTAGAGTCACCCTGTAATCTCACTTATCACAAGAGTAGGACAAGAACATTTTCAGATGTAACTTGAGAGCCAGCAAAATGGTGTACATGGCTAATGCCAAGAGGCATTTAGTTGTGTCTGAGGAGCTCCATAGTGAGTGCTCTTGGATGTATCTTATTCTTTCCCAGGACACCTCTCTTGGTTAACCAGGCTTAAAATCTATGTTAGAGATCTTTTAACATAGATAAATTAAGCTGGAAGTGACCTGAAACTTTCCCCCTAATGACTAGCTTTCCTAGTGATAAAAGGTGCTCTGAAGGCTACTGTGGGAGAAAAGACATCAGTGGCATCCTGTAGCCAACACTGCATGTTACATATAATGCCAGACAAGATGTTCCAACTGAGGCAGTTGTGGCATGAATGCTGTAGAGGTAACAACTGCCTCTGATTTGGATTTAAGGCTTGCTCCTCAGGAAGGAATTCAAGCCTGGTACCATTAACCTGGCCAAAAGCCTGTGGCTCAAGAAATTACAGGCCCTAGGGAGGAACCCATTACTGTCATTTTTTTCTAAATGGACACAATTGTCAACCACTTTCTAAATGTTTATGTTTATACACACAGTACTGCCCTCAACCTTAATTCGAGAAGCTTCTCTCTGTAGTGGTCGGCAGTTAACTGGTCAAAGTGCTGAGAGTATATGTCTACTGAAGGCTTATTCCTAAATGGGACATCTATATCAAACACCTTCCCACCACCATGAGACTCGGGGAACATTGAAGAAGGGTGGAAAGAAGGTAAGAGCCAGAGGATGAGGAAGATGGCTATGAAAAGCTGTCTTTGGGACACAATGTAGCCACTATACCCATGAACTCACTGCAGAATCGGTTAGCTGCACAAGATCTGGACAAGATCAAGCCAACAAGATCACTCACCATTCCAACTCCAATGCTAATGGGATTTGGTGGGTTGTTAAAAAGAAAGGAAAGACATACAGACAGGAGAGTGACATGTTGGGTGCTCCTGGGGGAGTGGGAATGGGGAGTCAGGGATGCACAAAGATACATTGTTTATACCTATGCAATTATCAAAGAATAAGTAAAACATATTCTATTAAAATACCTTCTAGTAAACTACAACTTTTCTTTGAGAAGTTCACAGCCATGATGTAGGCCCCTTTCCCCTCTCCCTAATTGCCTTTTTTTTCTATTTTCTTTTTTATTTGTTTATTTTCTTTGAGACAGAGTCTCACTGTGTACCTCTGGCTAGAGTGGAACTTCCTATGTAGACTAGGCTGGGCTGTAAAATTCACAGAGACTCTCCTGCCTCTGCCTCCCAAGAGTCAAGATTAAAGGCTTGACCACCACAACCACCTTCCTAGTTTTAATAAACTCCTACTACGCTTCATACTGGCTGGTCCTGAAATTCTTTTCTGCTTTGAAACTGATCGTCCAGTTTTACCTGAGCTGAGGTCCCTAAAATATTAAAGGAACTCCTCAAGCCGCAGCAGGTGACGGTGGGGCTGTATCTCTGTCTCTACCTTTAGTGCCATCAGCACTCACTCCACTAGGAATACCTTGCCCATTTCCACTTGCCAACACCTAGCTTCTCCTAACCCACTAGCTTCTCCAGAACACCCTTCCCTCCTCTTCCGTTTCTGCCAGGTCCCAGCCTGGTAGAGGCTGTTAGTTGCCCATCTAGCCCTGTATTCCCTTCCTTACCATGTGTTTTCCCAGTGGGTCTTCATAGTGTTCTTCCTATACCTGGTACTCAACATGATGGAGCTTCTAATCAGCCTAGCCAGGGGACATAAAGTAATCAAGTAACCACACAGAGAACTGCACATTTTATCAGGGACATGAGCTGCTGAGGAGTGGAACCCGTAGCCCAGACAGAGAGTATAACCAGGGAATTACCCGAGCCACTCCAAGCAGGGAAACCTCCTTCAAGGAAATGTCACTGAGGTGAGAGCCTAGGGAGGATCCAGGAAAGTTAATCTGGGGAAGAGGTGAAGGAAAGATATTTCGCAGAGGGCGGGGTTCATGGGAAAGCCTCTTGTCAACATCTCCTCTGTTGCTGTCTTCTACCTGAAGCGTTCACTGTGATCTCTTTGAGGCCATTTGCTTCTGGTTTTATCTACACTCAGCCTACGGACTGTTCTTGTAGGGACTCAAGAAACCCCTAAGCTGAGTTACATTGCACTGAACCCTCGGTCTCCAGTCAGGACACAAGCAGCCAGCTAAGCCTTCATTGCCTTTCTGAGCTTAGTCACAGGGCACAGGGAACTTCTCACTAGCTGCCTCCATCACAAGCCACACACAGCCCTCAAGAGACATGTGCAGACTCAGCCCCTCTGAGCCACCACAGGTGTCATCTGTGGCTCACAATAATAATTGCCAGGGCATTACAAGAAGGAACTGAGGGCAGGGCCAGAGCAGAGAGCACTTGCTAGACATTGTCCTTGCAAAGAGTGACTAGAGGATGCCATCTACTCTGGTGACCCACATAGAAGATCAACTTCAGCTTTGAGAAGTCCTCAGACCCTAACAGGCAAAATCCTCACCTCAAGGCTACAGGGTCAGAGACAGAGCTCAGCGTCCCAGGACACAGGGAGACACTAAGGCTCCCATTCAAGTCAGAACCATCCAGATCATGAGTGTTTAGGCTTTGTATTTGACAAGATGACTGTCGCCTAAAAAGGTGTGCTTTAGGGCATCAGGGAGCCTCAAATAAGCACA